GGCTTCAGATCGACGGCGTGTCGGTCTTAGTGTGGGCTGTTCCGTGTCGTACCTGGATGTGGGGGACGGGGGTGCGGGGAGGGCCCCCCAGAGATATAAAGACAGACCTGCTGGCCCGGCAGGTGTAGCTCAGTGGTTGAGCATCAACCTATGAACCAGGAGGTCACGGTTCAGTTCCCAGTCAGGGCACAGGCCCGGGTTGTGGGCTCCATCCCCAGTGTGGGGCGTGCAGGAGGCAGCCGATCCACGATTCCCTCTCATCATCGATGTCTCTCTCTTTGCCTCGCCCTTCCTCTCTGCAGTCAGTAAAAATATATGAGAAAAAAGACAAAAGGCAGACCCGCTGGCCGCTTCCCCGTGGCTCTCGCCGCAGGTCTGTAAACCCAGGCCAGCCCTGAGGTCCATCGCCCGGGGGGTCGCTGTGAGGAGAGGAAATTCTCTGCCTGCCGCCCGTCCTGCAGATGAGTATCTCAGTGACCCGAGTGGAGAGAGGAAGGAAAGAAAAGAACAGTGTTGTCGTTTTCTCTTCTTTCTTCCTCGCCAGCACGATCACGGAGGCCCGCCCCCCGCCCCCCGCCCCATGGGCTCTGCACCGAGGCTCCGGGGCGCAGCTCTTCACCCTGTTTTCTGAGCCACCTCGGGGTCAGGGAGCACCGCTGGGCGGGAGCTGTCCGGGGTCCTGAGCCGCCCTTGGCTGGGTCCCGGGGAGCATCCTCACCCAGAGGGTCCCAGCTGACCTCCCCCCTCTCACCTCCCCCATCCCAGAGCGGGAGGAAGGAGGGCGTCTTTGTGGGAGAAGAAGATGAGTAGCAGTGACGGACGCCTTTGGAAACTGGGAACGTGGAAGGATTTCTGGAGAAGGCTGTCACCTCACGGATCACACCTCTACCGGGGGTGGGGGGTCTCTGACACGGAGTCACGGGTGAGGGCCGATGGGCCGAGCTGCTGCCGTGAGCACTGACACGCCTGTCACTCAGGAGGAGCTGGGAGGCGGAGGCCTGTACTGTGAGGGTGTGAGCGCCAGAGGGCGTGTGCTGGTCGCTATGTTTTACGCACAGCGCTGGGGGCGACCGTGCGCTGGGGCGACCGTGCATGTTGTCGGTGGAATCAGGCGACGGAATCAGCATCGACACTAAAGACTGGCTCTCCTCTCACCACTGGAGCCCGTTGTGGATTGGAGCGGCGTCTTCAGGGGAGGAGATGCTGTGACAGGCACGCGTCTGCCCTGAGCAGCTGGCCCTGGTCCTGGAGGGGGGAGGAGGGACCGGTCCCGGCCACATGGTCTCATTCTGTTTTCAGAGCTCCATGGGGGCCCTGGGAGGGGGCCGCCGCATTAGCACATGGCACTTCCTGTTTCACTGCCCTCTGCGCTGGGGGGTGGCCGATGCGGCTCCAGCTGGAGGTGCTGAAGTCAGACGGGGCGGGGCCCTGCCTTCCCTGTGGGCTGCAAGGACCAGAGGACCCCTGGCCGGCCTCTTGTTTTTATATTTTTTAAAAATACGTGTGTGTGTGTTAATTATTGATTCCAGAGAGAAGGGAGAGGGAGAGAGAGAGACATCAATGATGAGAGAGAAGCATGGACCGGCTGCCTCCTGCACGCCCCACACTGGGGATCGAGCCCGCACCCCAGGCCTGTGCCCTGACGGGGAAGCCAACCCTGACCTCCTGGTGCAGGGGATGGTGTCAGCCACGGAGCCGCAGCACCGTTGGTGGAGGCGCCGGCTGCTGTGTCTGGGGAAGCAGCAGGGTTTAAAGGGCATCTTCATCCAAGACGCCAGCAGCCTGGGCCCACCGTGTCCACTCTGGTCGCTGCCCCAGGCTGCCAAGCCGCCCCCCGGAGGTGGGAGCGGGAGAGCAGATGGGATCTCCTGAGAAGCAGCACAGGCTCCTGGCTGCCTCTTTGCAAGCAACCCTGCTTCTTCGGTCGCAGCTGTGGTTGTCATGGCGACAAGCGGTCGGGAGGCAGTTGGAGAAAATGCGGACTCGGAGGGAGGGCGTGCGGGCGGCTATGGACGTTTGGGGGGGGTCATACGTGGCCCTGCGACCTTGTACTGCCCTAGAGGGGACGCCTTTCCCATTTGCCACGGGCACCAGTGCCAGGCGGCGGCAGGCCCGGGGTCGCCCTTCCCCGGGGTAACCGTGTCCTGGGGCGATTCTCTCTCTCCATCCCTGGCCCTCCCTCCGCCGGGGACCCTCCCAGGAGGGTGGGCTCTTAGTCCGTTCAGGCTGCTGCACCGCAGAGGGGGCAGCTGACAAGCCACAGCGTTCAGTTCACTTCTGGAGGCTGGACGTCCCAGGTCCCGGTGCAGGCAGGCCCCGTGTCCGTGAGGACCTGGTGCGCGATGGCTGCCCCGGCTGTGTCCTCGTGTGGGAGGCTCCGAGGCGCTCTCCGCGGCCACTTCCTGGGGCCCCGATCCCTCAGGGCCCACCCCCTCGCCTCACGAGTCCCAACCACCTGTCCAGGCCCCTCTCGCTACCGTCACCTTCAAGGTTACCATGTGCGTCGTTAACCTGTGACCCTGGAGCGGATGCCGACAGTCTGTCCAGCAGGGGCTGTTGGCGCGGCTGTTGGTTTGTTTTCGAGGCGTTTGGGCCTGTCTGGCTCCTCGTGAGACAGCAGGGCCCCCGGCAGCCGTCCGTGACCCAGCCCCGGGAGGTAGATCTCTTAGAAACAAGAGGGCGCGGCACCATCAGGGTCTGTGTGGACTGACCGAGCCAGGGTGCAGGACCGGAGGGGGTCCGGGGCACGTCCTGAACTTGCTTTCCCTAAAGGGGACGGCCAGCGTCGGGGAGCCCTGTCCTACCCTCGCCGGCCGCACCTGGGCCAGGTGGGAAGGGCAGGCAGAGGGCCCTGGGAAGTTACCTTCGAGCTCAGGAGGAAACCGGCTCCAGTGGGACCCACGTAGGATGGTCCTGGGCCAGGCACCCCTTGCAGGAGGGGCCCTGCAGCTCCCCAGGGCACACGTACGCACAGTGCTGCAGGCGCGTGCCATTTATTGGGCACATAGTACATACATGTGCGGTCTCTAACACATGCTACACACAGGGCTGTTTATATGCACACATGCTACATACACACGGAGTCTGTGCACATACTGCATGTGTGTGTGGTTTGTATGCGCACATGCTGTATACAGGTGCAGTTGTGTACACATGCCACACAACTTACATGTACACCTACTGCATGTGTGTGCCGTTTGTGCGCGCGCACACGTTACATACATGTGCTGCATGCGTCCACACTACACGCACCTGGCGTTTACATGCACACGTGCTGCATGTGCGTGCTGTGTGCACGGCGGTACCAATTGCACCTCCGGTTTTGGTTCCTTTCTCCCCGTCCCAGGTGTGCGATGGTGCGGAGCCGCGGAGGCAGCAGCGCTCCGACCTCAACGGGCCCCTGGATAACAACAACGTCCCCGAGGTAGGGCCCGTCCGCAGCGCGCACCTCTCCAGGGTCCCTGTCCCAGCCAGAG